GAAACCAGCCCCGCCCCCAATCCTCTCTTTCTGCCTCCCCCGACATCCCATAGCAAATCACGACGACCTGATCTGGACCAGGTTTGAGGTCGAGACGATCCCTGTCTGCGTCTTTCTCTGCAGACCGGCTGACATTTTGTGAGGATGCTCTTTGCAAAATGATCCATGTTTTAATGCCCAAGCTTGTGTCCATGTCTGCAGATTGGTGCATAATGATTCATTAAGTACATTCATAAATATCATGAAGCTAAATCACATCAATTGCATGTTTTGTCTCTGAATGCTGACAATGAACTGATGTGCAAGAAAGAAAGTCTGAATACAAATATAAATGTTTCCTCTTGACACACACTAAAACATTAATGAACCCACACGTTCAACTTTTTATTAGTAAATCCACCTGCTACAAATAAATTAAGTTATTTAAGCATATTAATAAACCAAGTATCCTTAAGAATATCAAACATACAATATCACTCAATGTCTCATAAAGACACAAACGGATGAAGGCAGTTCTGTGTCTATTGAAGACCCAAATAAATTATTTCCTTCTGGTCGTCCCTAAATCAAGGTTGAAGCAGCGAGGAGACTTTTCTGCTTCAGCTCCGATATTAAGGCCCAGATACACCGGCCCGAAATCGGCAGTAAATGGGAGTCGGGCCGAGCATGAGCGTGGGCACGCCCTATTCGGAGTGGTATGCGCCGCACCGTCGGGTCTTTTCTGCCGACCTGACGCCTTTTCTTGCCGATTCAACATTGAATCGGCGTCGGGAACACCACCGGAAGTCGGACAAAGGGATAACACTGATTGGCTGTTCAGCTAGCGAATCAGTGCATGAGAAGCGTTAACGGAAGTGAGGGAGGTAAACAAATGATTTAAAATGGAAGATGGAACACACACGGACGGCTATTTCACCTCATCGGTTTATAGAGCTCCTGTTNGTATACTTAAGCCTTACCTCGTGATACATAAGAATCAGAACCAGAATTAAAGGTTAAATACATAAAAGGACATTTGCTTTGCGCGCCCTCTCTGGTGCAAAAACAGGTGCCATCCAAGGTAATAAGTTCGCAAGACGAAGATCAAAAATATAACAAATTATAAAAAGAAAAGTGTAAACCGAATTATATAAAGGAAAAAGACAAAATATTATGAAAAAAGCAGTATAATATATTGTTGGACGTGGAAGGCTGCGATTTAACATAGACAACAAACGTTATAGTGCCCTTTACAGAAGAACCAAGCGGTTCCCTAACAAACAATAACCATGAGTACAACAACCATTGTCATTAAATAGACATGGACAGTTAGTAACATAACTGATCTGTATTACACTTAACACAATAACCACATAGATCGCTTTAGCTATAGGTCTATCTGGTTTAAATTATCAGGTAACATTTTTATTTATAATGTGATCCATGTTAAATAAACTGTAAGGAATGTTGCCAATTTGGGGGGAATTACTTTTTAATTTATGCATACTTTTCTGAAAGACAAACATAGTGTTTAGGCACGCAGGACCATTTAGTTATGTTCATCTGACTCCAGTATACAGTACATTTGTTTTCTGCGGTGACATTGCTGACATTTTGATATGTTTACCCTTCCGTCCTCTGCTGTAGAATTCTATCTTTCTCTGAAGATGACTCTTGTTCGAAGAAGGAGGAGGAAGATGTCGCGAGCCCACTAATAAAGGTTGGATTGCTTCTCTTGTCAATCCTGACTAGATCAATATCTATACCAAAACATCTGGTGGTAGTGTTGCTAACCATGAGCCACATGTGTGTTAAAAAGCTCTTATATACATAGTATCATACATCCCCAGAGGACAAAACACAAAAACCATTGCTCCTGCTCCATCGCCCCCACCCGATGTGAACAGTGTTCCAGACTGGAGCCAAAAAAAACGAAAAGGACACATGAAGACGCGCCTCCTCTTCAGCCTTTCCCCCCTCACCCTGTCCTGGACCTGGCCGAGAACCCGCCCGCCGACCAAAGCTCAGGAAGGAGGAGACCAGAGAGAGAACAAAAGTCAAACCCTCAGGCTCACTTCTCACGCTGCCACACAACTAGGCAAGTGACTCACCAACAGGAGAGGAATCACATATACATCTGACATTTGTAGCTTTTATTTATTAAGCCTAAACAAATAATATTCCTACTGCGGTTATGAAGATCATTAATGACATAAATCATTATTTCAATATTGGATAATGAATTGTTGTACGCCCTAACTAATGATCTGTTACTTATGAAATACTCTTACTGTTGCTGTTTTGGAGAAACGTAGTTTCTCAAAAAACAAAACATGTCCAATAGGTTTTCTGAACTTATCAAAGACCACATACATACAGAATGACCTGTAAAAGAGAAGTACAACACAGCAACAATGGGGGGGACCATGTCTCAGGGTAGGGACCTGTCCACAGAATTAATGATGTTGGACGATAGATTTTTAACATTGGAGATTTTGCGCGATATATCGACCACAAAGGCTTTAGACCATTTCATAATGATAAATATAATAATAATTAAAGACATTCTTCCGATAACATAACTTTTTATTGAACCATTCACATTGCAAATGAAATGTGAAATAATATTCAAAAATATATAAATTAAATAAATAAACAAAATAATTAAATTAATTAAATCACCACAAACCTATTTATTAGAACACATGGAAAACAGACGCACACACATCATCTCTCTCATATATAAAATATAATATAATATATATAAATATATATATAAATAAATATAGCACACATTATCTCACAAGCAAAAAAAAACCTCCTTAAAACAACAGTCAAGTGTACAGTCCACACTGTCAAAGACCAGATGCCTCCAACAGGCCATATCCAAATTCAGTGTTTTTCTAAGTTTCGAGCAAAGGAACACCAACAATATTGATTTGCTTAGGTACGAGACGGAAAGACACTCATCTCCAGCGCCGTGTTTGCTCCCAGATGGACAAACGGAATGGGGTGATTGTGGTTTAGGTGGTTAAAATGCGTGGTATTGCCCTGCTTTTGTCGCTACGTTTAAACCAATGCACACTACGCCCGGCTCATCAGTCCGTAGGTTCGGCTTCATTGATTTGGTTTGGAATCCAAAATACTGGCTCACATCGGAGAACGAGATGTGTCGTGTAGGTTTTTGAAAACAATTCCATTTCACTTTAATTCCCACCGTAGTAAAGTCACACGTTGTCTCCGCTTGTCAGCTAGTATTTATTAATTTGGCTGCTACGCTGCTGCACGTGCACGCGGAGTGTCTGACCTGGCTGTGTGTCAAGCCCCCGCCCCTCACAGCGTGCCTGGCAGCCACGCGCTCCAGGCTAAAATTGCTGGTCACATCTTCTGTAAACGGGCAATTTATCGAAGCTCAGAAAAGTTATCGAGTCCATTTTTATTCATCGTACGATAAGTCAATTTATCGATTATCGCGACAGGCCTACTTCAGGGGTTTGTAAACGATGTCATTGCTTCTGCAGGACCCCCGCTCGTGCTCGGAGCTGCGCTGTGCGTTCCAGCAGAGCCTGGTGTACTGGCAGCACCCCTCCCTGCCCTGGCTCTCCCTGTTCCCCCGCATCAACGCTGAGAGGAGCTTCACCGGGAAGTGCACCCCGTGGGCCCAGGACCGCGCCCTGCAGCAGAGTCTCATGAGCGAATGGTGAGGCTTGAGACACAGTAGTGTACAGGAACAGTTTTGTGACCTTTGTGTGACTTTGGGACTCTGCTTTTCTCTCAGGTCCGTGAGTCTGTCGTCCCTCTACAGTCTGCTGAAGACCAAGCTGTGTCCGTACTTCTACCTCTGCTCATATCAGGTACACGCTGTCACTTGAATCCCGTTATAAAGGAGGGAGAACATGCTTGGTGGTGCTTTTCACACTACCATCCAAATAGACATTTTCACTGCTACTTTGTGTATACACTGGTATCAAACTAAATCCCCAAGTGCAGTACAAGTACCTCCAGATTGTACTTTAGTACAGTAATTAGTTGACTTACCAACTCTGATGATTTCCCTCTACCTACTCTCAGTTCTCAGTGTTGTTCAGGGCAGCAGGAGTGGGGGGGTCCGGCAGCATCACGGCCCTCATCTCTCCCACAACCCGGGGTCTCAGAGAGTCCATGAAGGCTGAAGGTGAGTCTTACCATTACACTTTTTAAAAACCTTTATTCTGACTGCTTATTCTGGTTTTTCATTGGACTCCTCTCTGTTGTGTCCCTGTGCAGGTATAGAGTTCAGTCTCCCCCTGGTGGAGGACAGGAGAAAGAGCAGGGAGCAGCAGAAGCACCCGGGCAAGGAGGAGGAGGAGGGGGCGGAGCAGGAGTAAGAGTCCGCTGTACATTACTGCAACCAGTGTTGTTGTTATTTGTTTATGTCCTTTTTTTTTTAATGCAAACAAAACATTTTGTATTGATCTGCAGGTGTTCTGAGCTGAAAGAGGCCGAGGAGCGCCACGGAGAGAAGGACGAAGACAACGACGATGAAGACGGCAGCTTCTCCTGGCTGAAGGAGATTGGGGTCCAGGACAAAATCAAGAAGCCCGACAGCAACACCATCCAACTGTATCCTCCCCCCCCCCTTCTGCCTCTAAAATGCAGACTCATTTCTATGTTTAGGACTCATTCCTGCACCACTCTGTTGTACCGCGTCTAATTAAATGTGTGAGAGCTGCAGTTAAAGCTCCTTGACCCCAGTGCAGGCAAAAGGAGGGTCAAACCGTGTCTCTGGACCACAAGCCCGAGTCGGTGGTGTGTGTGGAGGGAACACACACCTTCACCCTCATCAACTTCCTCATCAACTGCAAGAGTCTGGTGGCTGCGGCGGGCCCCCAGGCCGGGTTACCCCCCACGCTTCTAGCCCCGAACGCTTTCAGAGGAGCCACCATGCACACACTGAAGGTATGGAGAAACACACACACACACACACACACACACACACACACACACACACACACACACACACACACACACACACACACATACTTACTGTGTACAGCCACACACACATAGACAGAAGACACTATAATTACAG